CAGTATGTAGGATACCTATAGTAGTATATACGAACAAAATTACAGCTGGAAAAACCCTGCTGTTGATGAATGGCGAAATATACAATATATATGGCCTGCATCAATTATAGTCATTTTTTACCTGAGGGTGCTTCTATTATGGATTGAATATCTTAACAAAGGAAAGGTTTTAGAAGCTGAAACTTTTAGCGTTTTCATAACTCACTTAGGGCTACATACTGGTAAGTTTTCATTGAAGTTTGAGACATCGATTGAGCACGATGTGTCGTAGCTTTCGTGCATTGACTCCTAGGGAGCTAAGTTTTTTATCGTTCAATGTGTTCTCTATAATCTCTCTATTTTTAAAGCTTCCTCTATACTACATACGTTAAATTTGAGCAAAGCCTGATAAACTCGATCGACCAGTTTTTGTAAAAATAGATTGTGGTTACTTTAGACTGGTTCCATATACCTAAACTGGCAATATCTTAACATTTGAATAACTCGACCTAGGCTAGTCATCAGCGGCTCATATTTTTAATCTGGCATTTTCTCGTTAAGAGTTATCATTTTACCCGAATATAGTTGAGTAATTCAACTGACATGACGAACAGTTCCATTGTAAGCTTACACAAATTTTCTCGTAAGACATGCATCAATACTAGAGGCACAAAAAAACTCTTCTGTTTCATTTTCCTTCATCCATGAAATGGCAGCAAAAGCCAAAGCAACATTGATCAGAACTAATCTGTTACGTTTCCTCATTAATCATGCCTATTTTATTGAATGAACCAGATAGTGAACTAATGTAAGCTAATCAGTTAGCATATCGCTCCAATCATTGAGTAAAAAGTCAATAGATTATTTACTTCTTTTATTCTTGTACTAATATTTATGGATAGATCATTATTGTTAAAAGTAGGAAGAATAGTGTTGATCGCAGAACTAAAACTCATTAAGTATTGGATGAAATTAAAAAACAGCAAGTTCGTCTTCAGAGCTAGCCCCTTAGTTGGATTGTAGCTATATATTTTATGTCAAATTTTAAGTTGTAGTCCGATTCGCCTTCTATGAGTCAATATGAGCGTCATTGTGCAAACTGTTTGAAATTTCTCACCTATTTGAAACGTATAAATAATCGTAGTATATGCCACAATGTTGGCTCTCGTTATTTCGTGAGAAAACAGACGCTTCTTTAGCCTAGAATGTTCCGTCAAAGATATGAATGAGGGTGGGAATTTACGTCTTCTTTCCATTCCCACGATACAGTAACATCCACATGCTAATTTTCCATACCTCCACATGGTTCTCTTAAAGGAATGCCTTGCAAAATATTAAATGAATGAAGTGATATATGTCATGCATGAACATGAGTTATACTTTCAGTATTGTTCTGGCGTCTAATTTAAGTATATCTGGAATTTCCAGGATTTCCATGGGATTCCGAGTCCCGGCAATCCGCCGATTCTTCCTTGCACAAAAGTCACTTAATTCATAATTATTTTCATAAAATTGGAAAAGGTCGTACTATTCACTATCACTTTATCTTTTTCACACGTCAAGACGCAATCTAAACCCCATATATACTCTATTAGCTGACAATATAGTTAAGAAAATACAATTTCTAAACCAACAAGGACACACAACAACAGAAAAATTCATTTTATTTCATTGAATTTTGCTTGCGACAGTGTATATATAAATTCTTTGCGTGCTGCAATTTCGTCTAATGTACTATTCAGATATAGTGCCCGTACTGAAAAACTGTTTTCATACTTAACTTGAAAATAATTTTTTAGTTTTTTGGCGCTTCCGACCCTTGCTGAAGCCCATCAGATTTAGATTCTTGGCATTTTCCCGATCAATCCTAACACTTGACGCCTTTCTTCAGGAAACTTTCCAGTGCAGCGGCTAGCCGCTGCCACGTGTAATCTTATTCGCTCAAAAGATAATCCTCTTTGCCTTACACCCTATCGAATTCCAGACTGCTCTTACTTCGAAAAATCGTTAGGTCTATAATACGAGAATTCTCGATGGACAGTTCCGAACCGCTACTTTGTTATAAAATATTCCTTATTTCTTCAACCTAATTGTCTTGTTCGAAAGTCAGGGATTAATTAGAATTTCTGACGAAGAGGATGCGGGTGGGGAGTGTGGAGTGTGGGCGTAGGCGTGAGTGTCGAGTATGGCGTGGGTATGGGCAGATGTGGGTGTGGGGGTGAATGTTGATATGGATGGGCGTAGACGTGAGTGCCGAGTATGGCGTGGGTATGGGCAGATGTGGGTGTGAGGGTGAATGTCGATATGGATGGGCGTAGATGTTGAGACCAGTGTTTTCCCAATCCATACCCGCACCTCCACAGTCCACAACCACCCCCGACTCATCAACACCCATAACCACACCCATGTCCACACGCACACCACCACCACAAAAAGCCCACACCCGCACCACAGTATACCCACACCCACATCCACACATTCACACCCACAGCCATACCAACATCCATACACCCACACCCGCATTGGTCGAATCTCTGAACTCGAAAAAGCCTCATGGCTGGCTGTTCTGCTCAAAGGAATCTGGGTGGCTGAAAGCGCGAGGTCAAAACCCTAATTGGGTGATTTTCGAGGTTGAGAGAATATAATTGGTCAAATACCGTAGGTCGGAAAACCCTGACTGGCTGGTTATCTAACTTGAACAATCTGTTTGATCGAATCGCGGAAGTTGGAAAGCTCTGATTGGGTGGCTCTATAGCTCGAAAGAATCTGTTTGATCGAAAGTGCGAGGTCGAAAACCCGTGATTGACTGGTTTTCCAGCTCGAAAGAATCCAATTGGTCGAATCCATGAACTCGGAAAGCCCTGATTGGCTGGTTCTCTAGGTCTAAAGAATCTGATTGGTTGAAAGCGTCAGGCCGAAAACTTCTGATTGGCTCGTTGTTTAGCTTGGAAGAATCTAGTTGGCCGAAAGCGCGGGATCGAGAACTCTTGATTGACTGATTTATTAGATTGAAAAAAGCTGACTGGCCGAAAGCGAGAGACCGAAAACTCCTGACTGGCCGGTTTTTTAGCTTGCAGAAATCTGATTGGTAGAAAGCATGAGGTCGAAAATCCCTGATTGGTCGATTTTTAGCTGGCAGAAATCTGATTGGTCGAATGCGCAAGGTCGAAAACCCGTGATTGGTCAATTTTTAGCTTGCAGAAATCTGATTGGTCGATAGCGCGAGGTCGAAAACCTCTGATTGGCTGATTTATTAGGTTGAAAAAAGCTGATTGGTGGAAAGCACGAGGCTGAAAATTCCTGATTGGCTGATTTATTAGGTTGAAAAAAGCTGATTGGCCGGAAGTGCGAGGCCGAAAACCCTTGATTGGCAGGTTTTTTAG